GTGCGCTACTTAAAAATTGCTCATTAAATTAATGGTAATTAGCGCGTCGTTGATTGAAGCATCAATGAAATGTCATTAACATGCTCATGTTGTTTACATGATTTTAATATAACAAGCACTCTTGGTTCGTCCGAATTTTTTCTCTACCAGCCGTTCAAGACGTCTTTTGGCTGATAAGAAGAATAAACCAAAGAAACTTAGCAGCTCTTTGTTAGAAGTAACGCAATTGCGTATTATTATAATAAAATAAAAAAAAAATAATAAGAAAATGGTGGATGTTTGCTTAAATTAATTATAGGTAAATCAAATTGAAGGTCGTCTTCATGAGTATATTAAAGAAAAATATATAATTTGTACTAATAATTAATGGCTCACAAAAAGGAAAAAAAAATACAACTGACAAAATCGAACTAAAAATAAAGCAAACTAATTAATTGTATTATGGTTTAGCTAAACGAAATGTTTGCATGGCAAGGACCGTTCCGTAGAACACCTATAATCTAAGCTATTCATAATTTATAATTTAAGCTATTCTAAGTTGTATTATGCTGTCGGGGGACCTCCCCCTACAGCATAATACAACTTGATTGATTGATTAACACTTTATTGCACTAAAAACAAACACATAAAACAGAAAGAAATAAACATATATGCAAAAGGCGGCCTTATTGCTAGGGTAGCAATTTCTACCAGGCAACCTTTGGCTAACAGAAACGATACCAACCAAGTACAACTTGATTCCTTTATTTTTAGTTCGATTTTAGCGATGGTATTTTTTTTCGAATTTGCAAATGTATCCTAATTTGTGTAACAGAATTGCTACCTATATCATTATTTGACATAGTCCGTGAAAAGTATATCTGCTAAGTGGCGCTACATACAGTTGTGTACACACTCTAATCTGAATATACAAAAAGGTTTTATTTTATTGAATCTTATATTTTTAACCGACTCCAAAATCGATATGAGGAAAGATCTTGTACAAAAATAACAATGGAAAACAATATTCATTATGAATATTAAGAATTTCATTGGCTGAAAATGTTTTAATATTCCATCAAAAGTCTTGTGTATAGTCCAACGTAGAGGTTATATCAGGCCTGTGTTTAGTAGTTGGGTGATTATTTTGATTGAATTAAAGGCTTTGTTGAAGTACAAGCTGTCTACCCATATGCTCTTAAGTTACTAGATACTTTCGGCAAAATAACAAAAAAACTCACACGATATGTTTATGTCGTCGAAGAAAACAAAAGATAGCTTACTTTGCTTTCCTATGACTTTGAGCTAACATCAAGTTTTCATTTATCACTAATATCATGTCCAAAATAATAAAAAAAACCCTAAAAATATCTAATTGACATTGGAATATTGTACAATACAATGTATAAGATAAGGTTAGTAAATTTTACATTTGGTAAATTATGCGTGCATAAATCATTTGTTATTGAATAGCAAAGTCTGTCTGCAACATTGACGTTTGTCTGCAATAATAATTAGCCTTTAACACTTACAATCGTTCATTGCAAATGATACTCTAAGGCATTGCATCCATATGCGGGGGCGGAGCGATGGTGTAGGTATAACCTGATTTTCTACAGCACAAAGTTTCGCGCCGTTTTGCTAACGAACAGGGTTACGTTTTGCGTCGTACGCTTGTAAAAAGCCTAGTCTAGAATAAATGATTGAGAATAGTAACCGAATGTGTAATCCCTAATATAGAATATTGGAATTCCTTCTTAAATTATTCTTAGTAATTGTGAATATATTCAGGAAATTCGCGATCGGTTTACGGATTCACTTATTTCAAAGTGTATCAAAATTTATCTACAAAATAATATTTAAAAAGTAATTTCAGTATTGCGTTATAGGTATACTATGCCATATTTTGTCACTTTCTCTGTTGAAATTTGACATGATTTGACGTGAATTATAGATTTAATTTTATGTGAAACATTTTGTAAGAGGCAATAAATCACTTTTTCGCTTAGCGAATTTCGCTGTAAGTGTGATCATTGCCTTAGTTCAAACCTGGTTAATAGTTGTAGGTAGAGATGGCCTCTGCAATTATTTACGGATTAATATATATTTATGTGGGCAGGATGTGTACTTAAGAACGACCATATTACATCACCTGAGTGGAAGACATATCAAGATTTTATCGAAATTATAAGATGTTTTACATAAATATTGAGCCACTTATCATATCAGATTAATCAGGGAAACACTTATTAATTAGGTGTGTAAACGAATTTAATTCAACTTAAGAGAAGACGAAGTTCAAGTATTAAACAAAAAAAAGATAAAAAATTGACTTACCAACATTTTTTTTACTACTTAAAGAAAGAAATGCATTTCTAAATATTTAAGAAGATAGATTACGAAAGATTTAGGTGAGTTAGTGAAAGTTTAATGAAAACGGGCATTAGTCTTAAATTTCATAAATATATTTTATAACAAGTCTAATAAAAAATGGTTACAGTTCTTGAAAGACTTATCTAATACGAGATGTTTTCCCGTGACTTCGCCCGTGTAAATTATAAGCCTAAGTCAACCGAATCGGTTCAGTAGTTTTGGAACCTATTTGTTTATCCTTTTCGAATTAAAATGAAAAAATATATATATTTATTGGAACAATATTGAGTAAAAAGTATTTGAAATAGGAAATTTAAGTGTATTGTGAAGAGTGTCTTATAATAATAAATTAATAATAAACGTATAAGATATTTGTTCTTTTAGGTATTTAGGTTTATAAAATTATGTTTTGAACGTCTTTCACTTTTATAACTATTAAAATAGTAAATAAACATGTTGTTTAAATTAAGTATTGATCCCAGAATCTGTTCGGAATTCAAATTTTAAACTAAATATTGTATAATTATGGCGTGAATATGTGTGGAAAAGGCCTCATATGTTTGAATGCAATATTGGTTACAAATAGGAAAGAAAAAATAATATAATTAGGAGAGCAAATCAGTGTTAGCCCTATCCTATGATTTATGATTGTATTCTTCTTATTTATAAATATAACCAATTCACCTCAGTAACCAAAGTACATAAGAGCTCTTTTATGGGATGCAAATATCCATTACACCGTTTCATTTTAAAGCACAAAACCTCTCTTGACCGAGTTCTAGCAATTTCAATTCTACAATATCGTGATAGGCGTTATATTGGTTTGCAGTCGGGTGCAATTTCCCACACGATCGACTTGAACGATACTTTGTTAAAATCGGCTAGTACCCCACCCACGCTTCGCCTACTTCGCAGAAGGCCCCGGATGCTTCGACAACAGTTTGTATGCCCATTGTGGATGCACAAATGGGCGGAAACTGGAGTCTCGCGATTTGCGTCTCTATCTGTGATCATTAGAAAAGTTTCTATCGATCTTTCCTATCGATTGATAGAAAAGATTCTATTGATGAAATGAAAATTCATTTCACATTTATATATAACGATATCACTTAAAGTAAAATTTTGTCTCGCTAAAATATTAGAACGGTTGGGCCAATCTATCTGATTTTGGTTTTGGAATGTCTCTCGTTGTCTATGATGGGTTTAACAGGTGAGAGGTGATACAAAGTACACCGGTCGACTAATAGAATAGATTTGTGCGTTTACAGAAAATTGGAATTATTTATAATCGCGGTACTTTTTTGAACCATATTATGTAATGTGCATAAATTACTCATTTATCCCATCTACAGTATTCAATATGGTTATTTAGACCATTATTTTCCACTGTTCTCTGCGGTGCTCTGGGACTCCCAATATTGAGCGTCTAAGAAAATGTTGACCAAATATTTAGGCAAATGATTGGAGTTGAAGAAAAAAAAGTGTGTAATTTATTATTGAGTAACAACTACTAGGTTTTGTTTAAGATTTGGATTATAACAAAATATTTTAAAAGAGGTCGTGAAAAAAAAACGTGTAAGAGCTTTCTCAAGCTTGATATTTCATTACGTTGAAGTATTAAGGGTATACATCAGGCTATCCAGCGCTTGACCTTCGAACTAAGCATTGAATGATATATAAGAATACCCTTGGTCTTTCAATATACTGCAATATCAAGGTTTAAAAATCTCTTGCACATTTTTTTCATGAGCTCTCCGTCTACAAATATAGTTATAATAGAAAGTAAATAGCCATACAGTAATATAGTAGGTTTGTTTTGTCGTATTAATAATGTTACTTTAATAAACTTTATAAAGCGATACCGTTTTTATGGGTACTGAATCGAAAGCTCTATACTGGGTATTTTATTTTTAGATACTTTTAATTGAGCCGCTTTTCCGTTCGAGTGGTTTCAGAATCAGATGGTGGTCGCGCCATGTGCGCCGGCGCCTTGCTACGTGCTTTCTGATCAGTTGGCGCCGCGGATAGGTGAGAAAATCTTCCCTGCCACGGGATTCTCACGAACGTTTGAATTCAATATTCATGCCTAACTTTGAGATTATTCTTAGAGGAATAGTACTAATAATTTCGATAAGTATATGGTTACTGAAACAAAAATTATTAAGGTGAATATTGATTTTAAAATACCCATATAACTAATTATATTCGTATCTGTCTTATAATATCTTTGAGATACGTTATTGAACTAAAGGACAACAATGACCGTTAAACTTAAATTAAAGTAACCTGTAGCAGGGCGCAGGCGTTTAATTACACTTACAAAAGTCGGTACAAACCGATCTGTTATTCAAACAACTTATCATACCAGAAGGTGGGTCGTAAAATTGTTGGACTTAAACTGTTTATCCTATTATCTGTACCGGTATGTATACCCTTTTGTTTGCAAACAGGTGGTCCGTTCGCAGTTTATTTGTAGATAAGGATTAGATGTTTTTTTTTGTCACTACGTTAAGTCGAACAGTGTGTCGGTTCTGCGGCAAAGAGGGGGTTCTGTGACGGAGGCGCGGTGCGTGAGTCATCCGTTCATTGAGTGTTGCTGGTCCATTGAGGCGCTTTGCTCTCGGTTCATTACTGCGCCGGCCGCCGCACACGCACCGCGCGCCGCGGACCGACCACACCGACTCACTGCCTACGACATGTTGTCTCCCATATCTCGATACAACGTGAGTTAGCCTACGACTTCCGCTGAGCCCACCACTTTTCATAATTGTGTAGAACCATCAATTAACTATACGAGCCATACATAACAGTAATATTGTTTGTTGCAGATGGAGATCTCGAAATCGCAATTTTGGCTCGCTGCGGCATTATTAGCCGCCTGTGGCGTCTGCGCCGGTGCGGGAGTTAGGAAGCCGTTCACGCCGACCGATTCCATTTTGGACATCATTGATACTGAACAAGTCGAGAAGATTTTGGCGGCGAGGCACCGGGCGGAACAGGCTACCGCACCGCCTACGACTTATGTGCAGCGGAATGAGTTAGGAGATGGCAGCGCTGAAGCACTGGTGGTGTCCGCTCCTGATCAGGAAGACATAAGGAAAGCTCTTAAGTCTTCTAAAAACGCCCTTGTGGTTACAAAGAAGGAATACCTCAAGGAGGATTGGTGTAAAACTGAACCGCTGGTGCAGAAAATCCGCGAACATGGCTGCATACCGACCCAAGTGATCAATAGGTTTTGTTATGGTCAGTGCAATTCGTTTTATATACCGAAAGGACCTCGTCGCCGCGACAACAACGAGGAGCGTCCTCCTCCCGCTTTCAAGTCCTGTTCGTTTTGCAGACCAAAGAAGGTCACCTGGATAACTGTGACTCTACGATGTCCGGGACAAAACCCGCCGTTTAGACGTAAACGTTTACAAAAGATAAAGCAGTGTAAGTGTTTACCAGTGGGTGTGAACTGACGATAGCTCGTGGACAGAACCTCCAATGCAGAGGCGGTGCAACCGTCGAGGAATGCGATCGAGGTACGCATTCAGGAGCATCCTTGAAATAAGGAGATCCATCGGAGGAACGGATTTGGTGGTTGTGAATCGAGCGCTTAGGCATTCGAATATTTTGATGATAGAAACCTGCCCTTTCGATCGTGCGGACAGTAACTGGCTAAACAAATTCAGATCGCTTGCTCTCATACGTCAATACAGATGACGTCATGTGATGCATAGAGATGCGTATGTACATAGTTATTTCGTAGAGCGGCTTCGACTGCAAGTCGTCAAGCAAGCTTTAATTGTTTATAGCGAAATAAATTGGATAGTTTTACAGTGGCCTTGTATTCGTATAGACATTAGTTTTCTGTTTGTGACTTAGTGCTTGCAGTGAGCTCAGGCCTGATATAAAGGTAAATGTTTACATAATTTGTTTATTTATATGCAGATGTGTGATATTAGTTTTAGTTGAGTAACTTAATGAACTTATTTGAACGAACCACGAAACAATGTAAAGAGCCGAAACTGTTAGTTTATGTATTTTTATGATATTTCTGTTAATATAATTAAACCGAAATACGCTTATGAGTATGTAATTTTACGCTAATAGCTTTACGATATCGTTCTGAACATTTATGAGATTAGATTAGGTGTCGGATTACTATAAACATAGGTTTTGCTGTCTAAAATATAATTTCCCCAGTCTGTTTTCATATGAGCGCATTAGTCGTGTGATACCAAGTTGCTTTTAAGAAGATATTAGATAAAAACTGAACATAAATCTATGATTTTTCAAAGAAGTTTTACAATTTAAATAAAGTAGAGCTATAAAATGAGGTCTTATATGATTTGGCCTCTGAAAATCTGAAAATGGTTTATATATTAGATGATATAATTATATATCAGAAATATTAACACCAACAAAATTATTAAATTGTTTTTCGTTGGGCTCAAAATTGTGTTATATCATTGTTAAAGACAAATGTATACTTATAAGATTAAGCATTGGTTAGATCAAGAGAATTCCAAACAGTTCTTTGATTATTGAGAAATCAAATTCAGAAGAAAGATAAACAATTTGTACAATAGTGTATCACATTTATTTAAGGTATTTCAATATTTAATTCCTATTTAATTATACCTGAAAGAATTCGATAGGAAGGATAATAAGGTCTATTTTGCAGTATCAAATAATTTTGACAATATAAAACCTCTTTTATGTTTGTTTGTAAACATTTTTTGAAGGTTTGTAAAGTCTTGCCATTGTGTTTATATTAATGGTAATATAGTATTGTGTATCACAAATAATGTACTTAATATTCTATCCTTTTATTGATTAGAAGTAAAATAAATAATATTATTATGAATATAGTATTTGTTTTAACTCTCACGAATTAACATGACATTTGAAAGCATTTTCTATTTGTCTTCGAACCTAGGAAAATTACGAATCGTTCTTAAAATTTTGTAAAATTTGTATCAGTGAATATTATCCGTGTATCAGAGACAGTGTCAGGTCCTACCTCCGATAGATCATAAATTATGGTAAAATGCGTTCCTTTGGAGTCGTATTAGCATTTCGAAAATAGTCGCAATTTATTTTTCGTAGATAGGCCTTTTGGTGTCATTTTAGTTCGTACGAGTAGTAAATGCATTTTTTTTCAGTGACATTGCACCGAATCGTAGTATTATTAAATTATAAAATTGTGGTTTTTATTATTAATATTTCACGAGATTATTTCCGAATGGAATTGTACAATTTTGTTTGTTTTAATATAAGAGTTACAATAAATAAAAATATTTGTTTCACAAAAAGTGCTTTTCTTCATTTCCTTTTAACTTCTTATCTAAATATTGTTTTGTTTTTTTATTTATCCAAAATATTTATGTTGTTAATGAGAAAATTGAGTAGGTTGACCTACTTATTATAGCTATTATAAATATTATAGCATTAGTTGCTACATATCATCATCATCATAGTCTAACAGTTTATTATATAAACTGTATGCGCTTAATTCCTTTTTACATTTTGATACAAATAAACGTCAAAGGAAATATTTAAAGCAAAACTAATCTTTAAAAATAATTGTAGGTACACTGTTAACAATTATCGTATTGGTAAGCAGACATAGGAACGCAGTGCGGCTCCTGATCGTGAATTAGTATATAAACGGCCTCTCTTTCGGCTGGCAATACTTCATTTTTAAGTATTTTTTAGTGTGTGCTAAATAACACCGAAATTGGGGTTCTTTCACTGGCTGATCCGCTTGGCCTCCAGACTCTGGTGGAGTCTTCGTGGTTCACGAGTGCTGCTGACCGGAGCTAATCGGGTCTACACTCTTGCCAGCCTCTGACCCCCGAACCCGACATTAAATCTCTTTTTCAACTTTAAAGATAAGTCTTCCCAATAGAAGTCTCAAAGACCATAGCGAGTGAATTTGTAGCCCTGAGATTTGAAAAAATAAAGATTGTTAAAACATTTTTTTTTAGTTTGGTTCTTTTTTACCTGAAGCCTGGGGGGTGATGCTCACTCCCATCAACAAACCTATGCTTTAATAGCTAGTTTTAAAACAAATAAATTAAAAGATATTTTAGAAAATAGGTGAAAACTGACCTAACCCTATCTTTGAATATACTAGGCAAAAAATTAAAAAAAAAAAGAAATACACTGAAACATAAAAAGCGTGCGTTCGATTCCATTTCAGCCACATCTTTTTGTTTGCTTATCTATGCTGATATAATTCTTTGTGGTACCGATTAAGATCAATATTTTTTCTTTTTTTTTTGTCTTTCATTCAAACTTACGCAGAGAAAGAGCTACTGAAGTATTTTATGATTTAGTTTCACATGGAAATAAATGGAATCGGTTAAATGTAATTTGGTTAATATTAAAATCGCAGTTAAAATAATTAACGACTATCGCACTATATTACGTCCAGATCCATTAATTGTTTTCGAGATCCAAAATTTAGAATTTCCGGCTGAAGATGAGCAGATTCCCTCTGCATAGCTATTCTGTTGAAAACCGACTTTAAAAAATCGTATTATAGAAGAACCAATTATTATACCACTTTTTTTGTCTATGTACACATACGGTTGCACGTTGGGATACTACAATATAGATCTTGACTGATTATTATTCTCTATAACTTATGTTTTTTCTGGTTTCATAAGGCAAATATCTTAATTTTTAACCGACTTAAAAAGTGAGATTATCAGTTTGACCTGTATATATGTATATATGTTTGTTTGTGCATGATTATCTCGCGTTTGGCTGAATCCATTTTGATGCGGTTTCCAGCACAATATTTGTCAGACTAAGGAGAAAGTTCTAGGTATATTAACCGACAAAAAAATGGAGATTCGCACTTTAACAAGTGTTGTATGTATTGTCCGCGATTATCTAGATTTTGTCACTAAAAAGCATGAAATGAAAACTTAAAAAAATAACCGACTTCAAACGTTAAAAAGTGAAAAATAATACTTATCCTATAAATTATAAAAGTCAGGCGCCGATCATTTAATTAATAACCTACAGAAAACCTCCTTCATGTTCTATTTTTAAAGTTTTTTTATCAAACTGCTGTCAACTGATAATTAAAAAAAAACTAAAAACCTATTAAAGTGACGTTTAGGTACAGTTAGAGACGTGCTTAACTTTAAGTACTCAATTCAGAAACCAGGTGTTGGTCAAATTTCCGCATAAGATTTTGGACTCTACGTTCTTTATTATCTGGATTGGGTTTGGTATTTTTAGTTATTGTATGTGACAAATAAATGGACTTTTTGTGGTAAATTTCGATATGGTATCGGAAGGTGGCACATACAAGTGCACGCTTGCGCAAGCTGGTTTCGAGGCGTCGCCATCTCTGATGTCGCGGTTTCGATTCCTGGTCGGGTAAATATAAAAAAAATGAACTTTTATATTGTGATCGTTGTCTCAGATGCTACATTAACTCAAGGCCCTCTTGTATCTCTGCTTACTTTCCCATATAAATGCGCAAACAAATACGGATCGAGAGTAAAGACGCGCTCGCTTGTTTTAATATATATATTTAACCACAGTAAAAAACAAACGCAGTTATAAATAAAAATATACTTTAGATTATATATGAAAACCTAGTTTGCATATATTTTTTAAATAGTAAAGATGAAATACATTAGTTGTAAAAAATAATAAAACCTATTTATAGTCATTTTTGCGTTTTTTTTCTACCAAGCCAATTATTGAAATTAAGTTTCTGTTAGCAAGCAATAGATCATGTGTATGATTTTAATAAAAAGATTTTTATTTGGCAAATATTAGGGTAGCTTTAGAGTCAAATTGATTTAAAAAGTGCTAATTTCGTGCAATCTCGCCTTAATACAAGAAATACTCAGTTCAACGACGGGTAGAATAAGTAACAATACAGCTTAATCTGTTCAGAAAATGCTCAGGCATGATCTTCGTTGCGCTTTCCGATATGTGTGTAGGCTCTTAAATCATACTTCGTCCTTAGATCTTTATGGCCTTACAAATAAGCAATATATAAGTATAGTCATACAGGTTCTTATCTTTTTAAAGCAATTAAAGTCATATTGGATTGATGAGAATAGAATTATGTGTAACTAAACAACGGTATGAATTTCTTACGGGGGGCCAATTCTACTAAATAAATTTTGTTTAAATCGAATCGAAAACGGATCCAAACCGAATGAAATAAAGTTTTTAATGGTTTTTCTATTCTATTAAGTGACATACGATACAATATCAGCTAAAATAGAACTGGAATTTTATCGTATGTCATTTTGTAGAATAGGAAAACCATTAAAAACTGTAGTTTCGTTCGGTTTCGATCCGTTTTCGATTCATTTTAAACAAAATTATTCAGTAGAGTTGGTCCCCTGGTTAATTTTAACGAGACGAAATAAAACACCATTTACACCGACATAATGTTTGTATTTATTAAAACAGAAGCATGAGACAGACATTGATATATGTAAGTATGGATATTGCAACCTCTTCAATTTAATCTTACATTCATATATTCAGGTATACAAAGCGTCACTCTGTGGTATTAAATAGTTTTAAGACACGGTCATTAAGAAAATACAAAATTATGTATATAGGTTATACCTATTTTTAAATTACATGTACGATAATTAGGATTCAAATCTATATCGTATTTGATAAATAATATATCTACAGTGTTTGTGTAATTTTATTAAGCAGATCTCGTACCTGCGTCTTATGCTATGTTATAAAAAACGGACATGATTCATGAATATGATGCAAAGGAGAATGTCAATTTACTACGGGAGTTGGGCTATTTTTGCATAAACGCGAGCTTTGTTGAAACCAATGTTTATAAATAGGGAATTATCTCTAGATAATGTAGGAAAAAAATAATTAGAATAATATGGCGGAGTTTTAGGAAATCTGATTATTTAGCTCGATTGGATACTTCAAGGTTAACAAAATATGTACAGATGTATAAGACCAATAAATCATGAACAAGTCATATTCGATGAATATCAGCAAGTGGAACCTAGTTTTGTCCACCTGTAATTGGTTTGCAAAATTGGTTATAATTACTGTAGTCTTCTTTTATTGTAGCAACCGTTGATAGAACAATTAAATAATTAAAACATTATTAATGGCAAAATGGTCCGTATCTATATTAGATTACAGGAAAGATTTCTTCTCCTTTTATTAATATAAAACTACCTACATTATCAGAGCCATTGGCGACTTCCGTAGTCGAGAGGTTCGAACTCTGACGTGTCAAGATGTCGGTCTGGGTGTTGTTGTAGCTTCATTGTCTCAGACACTCCATAATACGGGGGCTTTAGCTACTCATCTTGGAATCTGAGCAATGTATGTGATGTTGTCTAATAATTAGTTATTGTATATTATAATTATATAGTAATAGAGAAATTCTAATTTAAGAGACGATTTATGATACATATCTAAATTGCTGTGTGCAATTTCGGGCCACATTTGTCCACGTTTTTTTAATTTACACTTATTTGGCTAAGGTATTATAATTAATTTTAAATTTATTATCATTTCTAAATTAACTTAAGATATTAATTTAAATCGATACATTGATTTAACATACTTATAAGTATTTTAAAATATTTAAATCTAAATTCTGTAGTTAATAGGTTTATAAATAAAATATAATAGAAACGTATAATAAATTATTATACGTTTCTATTATATATATATATATATATATATGGAAAAGTAACGTAAGTTTCTTCAAACAAAAATGACTAATAAGCTGTACTTTGAAAGTATGATTGCCAGAATATTGTTTTTAAATCGGTATATTGTCAAATAATTAATATAAATTAGTATTAAAAATGATCCCCTACCAAGTAGGTAAACAATTATTAACAATTATTATTTTTTGATAAAATTTGTTTCTATAGTTATTTTTTTAAATCGTTTTAGGCGTCTCAAGTTTGGACACGAAATTACCTCTTACTAATCGCACGACCGGTCTTCAAAGATAAAATAAGTTATGTATTTCAGCATCGTGATTGCAAAATGTATCAAAAAGAGTAAATTTTTCAGTTTTTCGTATTACATTTTATAAAAGTGCATATTAAGTTATAAATTACAAAAATGTACTGACATTTAACAAAAAGGGTTATTATAAATACTTACTATTACATATTTTTACAACTAATATTTGTATTTAATTTAATGCTATGTTACAATAATAATGAATACAATTTACAATTATATTCTTTTTAGAATCGTAATGGCCTAAAGCAGGTATTATATCTAGCCTACTCAGCATGTCGCCACGCAGTCGTAGGTTTCATACATCTATAACATGCAGGACTAGCTTAGTGTCACTTACATGATAAAATATTGAATAGATACACGATACTACTCTTTGTGAGACTCGGCAGTTACGCATTACTTATATTATACAATTATATTATTATGTATTATTATAAAATGCTTACCTGGTTACTGTCTTGACCGTTTTGTAATATACATTCTTATAATAAGAAAATCGGTATTTTTTTAATACT